GAGATTTGCATTTGCCAAGCGGAGGTAACATCATTTTTACCTTTGCAATAAGGTTATGGTGATCTGGAATTTCCAATAGATTATGGAATTTCCATTATCACACAGTTCACTTTCTCCCTCGCTCCTTCCCACTGCCTTAGAAAAGTGAAGCTTGCTCTTTCCTTCCTGAGACTGCCCTCCACCTCACAAACTACATTTGGGATTTTTCTCCATTTGTTAAGTATTTTGCCAAATGTTGTTATGGAATGTGGAGATTTGGGGGTTGCAATTCTAGAAGTATAGGCCCAAGGCATCTTAAAGGTATGGAATTAGTTACAGAGTTCTTTGAATCCTGACTTGAATTAGATAATACAGTATGTACCTGGATTATCCCATAGGAACACAATGTTTGGCTTAGATGCAAGCAGGAAGAAAGACTCTTTCCTGCCTCTTTCTTCCTGCGCTATGCTCTAATGAACCTTGGAAAGTCAGTCCTGAGGGCCAGGAGGTCCTCCAGAGGTACAACATGTGGCTCAAACATTGCATTTTGAGCACGACCAGTGATTTGAAAACACACCTTGCAGAAACAAAATACTCTGACTCATGCAAAAATCTCTGTGTATCCCAAGTTTTTGACATCTGTCATAAATACCTCCAGTCTTGGCACTGCACAAAGGTTTAGCTTTCTAGCTTGCTTATTATTTATTTAAAACAGAAGGTATGGTACTTCTTCAGTCACATATTGATTTTAAATTGCACTTGCATTGATTGCATAGATTACATAGATATTTCAGATATGATCCTGAGCAGCCAGTAACTTGCTAAAGTCCATTAATGGGTTCATGGCCGAAGTATGGCAGCAATCTTTGTATGCATACTTTTGAACAAGTATTTAGAATGTAAAATAGTTATTAATTGACCAAAAAATTGAGCCAGGGGTTTACTTGAAGGTTGCTGTCGCTGATATGATTGTAACTGGAGACTCGATAATCTTGTGCTCTTTTCAACAAATACTGGAGGATTCACCTACAAATGTAGGGAGCATTGACTGTTGAATGGTAAGGAAGATATTTCTGTTCACTTCAGTAAGCCTCTACAGTACTTGCCTATTACATTTATATTTATATAATATTTATTTGGTTAGTTGAATGGAAAGCAAAGTGTTTAGAATGTGCTTGAATTTAAACTATCAGCTTTTAATTTGGGATATTAAAATTGTACTGTTTTTAATGTTATTTTCTGGCCTATATTTATTTTTTATTTTTTTATTTTTACTGCATTGTATAACACCCCTCTCAGCCTTCCAGCACAATGAAGGGAGACTGGAAACTATAGAATATGGGTGGCAATCATTCATCCATCCATTACATGGCCTCCTAAATATTGTTGGACTTTGACTGCCAGTCTTCATCATCGTCCATGTTAGCAACTCCTTTTGGGATTTGCAGTCCCACAACATTTGAAAGGCTACAATACTCTCATCCTGCCATAGGAGACCTTTCAGACTTCTGCTATGAATTAAGAGGACAACGCAATAGTTGTGTGGTCCTTGCTCTTAAATTGTGTTACCTTCAATAATAATAATAAACTTTATTTATATCCCGCCACCATCTCCCCCAACAGGGACTCGGGGACCTTCAATGGATCCAAGACACATTGCAGTTTCAGAACCTCAGAGTTTTAAAGACCCACAACTTATTCACTCCAGATCTTACTATTTTTTGATTTCAACAAGAAAAATTGGGACTCTAAAGTGCAGAACTCTGGGTACTAGATCAAATCCCTGGTCTTCTTTCTACGTAGTTAATGTGACATTTATGTCTTGTGCAGCGTGTTTGTGTCGACTTTCCACTAGACTATGTCTCCTAGCACAGAAGATGTTTGGTTTTGGCTTTGTGCCATAAAATGCAATGAAAGGGAATAAACCCACACTTGACAATGGTATTGTTTTTCTGTCTTGGCCCAGACTCATGTTTAGTGGGAAGTAAGTCCCATGGCCTTCCATGGCATGTGTTTCTAATGAGGCATACTTGGGACCTCAGCTTTGAAGAAACTGATACCTAACAAGAGGGTCCATCAAAGTGTTTTTGTTGTTTGTTTTGAAAGATAAGTCCTATTTTGGAGTTGAAACCGTATTATCAAGGGAGCTGTGGAAATTGTGCCTGACTGAGGCATAATGACTGGCTTTCCATCTTTAGTCTCTTTACTGAATTAGGCTGGATGTTCAGAGAGATGATTCATAAGCTTTGCGGTTAGCACCAGAGTGAATGTTATCTTCAGATGAAAGGAAATGCGGGTTAGCTAATGTTACTTGACAGCAACTGGAGAATATTATACTGTTGTTGTTTTTGTTGCTGCTGTAGATCACCTGAACCTTGGGAGTCTGGTGCCAGTCCAAACCCCAAGAGGGACTTTGTGCAGCCAGAAAACGCTGAGGCTCTGGCAGGATGTCAAGGTAGATGACTGGACAAAATAAGTGTAGCCTCTGGCAGCAGGTGGAAGAGCAGGCAAAAAGCTAGCTGAAGGATGCGGGGAAAGTAGATCCACTTTATTTTCACTGTACTTTGCTTTTGTCAGCCATCACGTACATTACTTTTTAAAAACATCCCTTGTTTAGTGGACTCTAAAGATTCGTATTTATGGGTGTTTCATTGGTATGATGTCAGACAGATTTAGGGTTAGATTAAGGTTTTCTTTCAACTAAGGTCTCTTTCGCACTACTTAATTACAGTACTTTGAGACCACTTTAAGCAGTTATGGCAAATTCTAAGATTGGCACTTTAGGGTGAGGTACTTATTACTCTTAGCCAAAATGCTTTAGTGCCTTTCCAAATTATAATTCCTAGGATTTTATAGGATGCAACTATGTCTGCTAAAAGGTACCAGAGTACTATAATTGTGTAATGCAGTGATAGAGACCAAAGACTCGAAAGCTGTATGAAACTCTGATCACTCTCATCCAGACAGATGGGAACTTTTAATCATTTAGAGTCATGTTATATTGTGGAATTCTCACAGCACCAGTCCTACAAAATATGAAAGAAGAGTTGTAAGCAATGTCTTCATGTTTCAGTCCCTTTTCCTTCTGGTTCTCCCTGCAGATAAAGGGTTGTCTACAGCCTATGTAAGGGCCTTGCTATCCAGAGTGGCTTGCTATCAAATTTTCTATGTACAGAATAGTTTTCAATATCCATGTGGTATGGTCAGTTTATGATTGCATTTGCCCATTTGCATTTGTACTGTTGAATTCACTGACAAACGTTCTCTACTCCAGAATCTTACAGCTGAGTTACTGTGAGTTTTCCAGGCAGTATGGCCACATTCCAGAAGCATTCTCTCCTGACGTTTCACCTGCAGCTATGGCAGGCATCCATAGAGACCTTGCAACCTCTGAGGATGCCTGCCATAAATGCAGGTGAAACATCAGGAGAGAATTCTAGTGGAACATGCCCATACAGCCTGGAAAACTCATAGCAACCCAGTGATTCCGGCCATGAAAGCCTTCGCCAATAATCTTACAGCTGGTTTGTGCATCATTAGATAACTGGCAACCAGTCTGTGTCAACAGACATTATTAAAATGGGAAATGAGGTGATGTGAAAACTCTGTCCTCTGTGTCATTATCTATGGTTGCCCTCTCAGTCAACATACTATATATTACTCTTCCAGTAATGAAAAGGCTGTAAAGCTAGAAGGAAACAGATGTCTGGCCACTTCCATCAGCCCAAAGCAAGGTTATCTTCTTGTCCATCTTCCTGTATAGCCCACAGTCCATAATTCATAGTGTCATAGAATCGGAAACAAACCATAAAGGCCATTGCATACAACTGCCTGCCATGCCAGGATACACAACTAAAGAACTTCTGAAATTTCCGCAGTTGGGCAGGGTTTCAAAGAAAATATCAGCAGTGGGAATTTGCATTTTGTGTACATGTCCATAAGGAAATAAACAGGAAAGTTTCCAAACTTGGTGTAGAAACCTGCCCCATCCATATCTGAAAACTAAAAATGCTCTTCTATAGCCACCTTTAGATATCTTCTTCTTACTCCTCCCCCCAGTAATTTGAGGCGGTTCTCTGGATTCCAGTCCACTGAACTGCCCTTCATACGCTCTGCTGGGAGCGAAGGGATTGGAATAGAGATTTTAGAACTTCCAGGCCCAATTAGAAGTCCTTGCATGAACTTATTTTATGATCATAAGAAATATGTTCGACTTTTTGCTTTTCACTTACATGTTTTCCATCTCTTCTTGTTTCATAGTGATGGTGGCTATCTTATGGTGTGGCAATTCACTGTCTCTGTTTTTTGGTATTTTGAAGCTGTGTTAAAAATAGCATGGGATGCCAGAGTTGCTGTTCTGCAGGGTTCAGCTCCCCTCCCAGATCTCTGCAACATAAATCTCTCCCAAGAACGTTGGACCCTTTCATGAATATTGAACAAAGCCAGTCCATTTTTTCCACATTAAAATAAAAATCATTCAGTTGCATCTTGCATTTCTATTCCAATAATAGTTTTTAAAAGGCAGGCAGTCTCTTTAGGTTGCTCTGAAGAGCTGCTTATGCGGATGAAGATTTCTGGAAAATGAATCAAGTGAACACATGCTCCCTTTGAAAAACCATTACTGAGACCTTCAGAAATGCAGTTTGCTTTCATCGTATGGCCTCTGCGTTGCCTCACAATGAAAACAGCAGCTCAGCGTGGAACACAGTGTCCTTTGGGAAGGGGGGGGAGTTATGTAATGGCCAGCCTCTTGTTCATAAATCAAACTAAACAAAAACACTATGAGACAAATAAATAGATAAACAACTCGCTCAGAGTTTGTGCTTTCCTTGGGGCCCCATGGCTTGTCCTGGAGGAATTGTCAAAACTCTTGTTTGCATATTTAACATGGGCTGATATTTGAATTGCCGGTAAAATAAAATAGGAAGGCGCCACTTTTTTTTTAGCCAGCTACAAAAATTAGCATCTTTTTTACTTCAAGATTTCTGATAACATGCTACAAAAACTATTGAGAGACTTACCAGAACTTCTTTTTCCCTCTCTGCTTTCCAGCAGTCTTCCTCCCAGGCTGTCTCTCTTCAAGGGTTTCAGACTTTCAGGCAGCAGCTGACATTCTCTCCAGACAGAGGGATTTCTGCTGAATAAATTCCCATGTTTTCCTTCTTCTTTCATCACCTTGAATGTTGTCCTGCTGTAAACTTCATCTCCTCTGTGTCCCGCTTCCTCTCCTTCCTTCCTAAACGTCAGCTCAGGCACTTGTCCGGAGGTGTCCTCTTAGGCAGGCTTCACGTTCAAAACAATCCTTTCATTCCTTTCATGCTGGAAAAGAGAACTGAAAGAAGCTTGAAACAGCAGTCCACTCACCAAGGCCGTGGACCCAAAGATATAAGTCCTTGGAGTTCTACAAGGAGTAGTGGTGTGGTTTTTATTGAAAGTTCAACTTTTAAGGAAAAGAAGGAAGTAGAAAGCAAAGGGGAGGCTGAAGCTGAGGTTTGGTTCTCTCCCCACTTGGGCCCCTTGCCGACTGTTTTTATTGATTTCAATCACTGGAGGCTAGCTTAGCTCTCTGAAGAAACACTGTGTAATGTGTTCTTTCCTGGCTTTCATTAGAGAAACTCAATGCAGCTCGGTCACGCTGCCGAGCTTGCTTGGCAACCTGCCTACTCTCTGTGGTACTTCTGCTCCTTTCATTGGCGGAGGCTGCGTTCCTGTTTCCTTCTCCAGCAAAGGACCTCGGAAAAAACATCAGATTCTCTCTCTCTCTGCTGCTGCTGCCTTCCCCTCCCCTAATACTCCAGCCCTGCTGAGCCCAGGCTGCTTTTACCCACAGCCTAAAAAAAGAAAGAAAGAAATGCCTTTTCTGGGGCGAACATGGCTGCAGACCTTATAGTGTTTGAACCGGCAAACAAACAAAGAGAGACATTCAGCGCTCCTGTCCCTTTTCCAGTTGAGATGTTTGGAAAGTGGCATAAATGAGGCTGTGGGAAGAGAGAGCGGAGCAATGTTAAGAGAGCTTCTCTGTCTCTTCCCTCTCTGAACAGCTACAGTCATTTGGCACGCATTTAAGAGTACAGTGAACTGTACTTAACTAAGACGGTGCCTGGGTAGGACTTTATCATGGGTTCCCTCTAGTGGAATCCTGGGATTTGCAGGTTAAGGAGGAGTACTTGGAATGCTCAAAAAACTTTCAGTTTCTTCCCAGACTACAAATCACAGGTTTCCATAGAATGAAGCCATACCAGTTAAAGTGGAATCATGGTGCTGTAATTGCATTATGTGAAAGATCCCTGGTCTATTGAATGGGGCTGGCTTGGACCTTGGGAAACCCTGGACATGGCTGAACATGAAGGGTAGTATATTTTAGAGGAAACTCTTTGCTATGACTGTATTACCAAGGAATACATGTGCATAGGTCATGAATATATATACATACTAGCCGTCCACATGTTGCTGTGGCCCAGTCTGTGTATGCGTGTTCTGTATGTGTGTATACATGTATATGTGACCAGCAGTGCTACAGAATTTGAAGAGGCACGAATGAAGGGTGAAAGAGAGAAACGTGCCAGGAGGAAGGCGCGTCAAGCCAACCCCAACTGAGACCACATTCCACCTGAAAACCAATGCCCTCACTGTGGGAGAAGATGCAGGTCAAGAATAGGGCTCCACAGCCACCTACGGATCCACAAGAATACTGATCATGGAAAACTATCCTACTCGTCCAACAGATCGCCTAACTAACTAACTAACTAACTAACTAACTAACTCAATGTATATGTGTGTGTGTATACACATTTGTGTATATGTGTATATATGTGTGCTTGTGTATATATGTGGTTTTCTGCATGTATTGTAATTTTGTTTTGGTTTTTGGCTTTTTAAGTCTCTTGTGCTGTGCTTTTCAGTTTTTTTATGAGTGATGGTCACTCATTGGCTTGATAGGTGTATTGTGTCCAAATTTGGTGTCAATTCGCCCAGTGGTTTCTGAGTTATGTTAATCCCACAAACAAACATTACATTTTAATTTATATACATGTGTACATGTTTGCACAAAGTCAGAAGGAGTTTGTCTACCATAAAACTGCAGAATGGAAATTAACTTTTCCATGAAAATTATTTTTCCAGCTTTCTTTAGAAGCAAAAGACTAGGACTGAAGTGGAAAGTTTCCCAGCGTTGGGAGCCTGTGTTGGATCCAGGGAAACACTCAGTGACATGTTTGCTTCCAATTCCTGGCTAAAATTTCACAGCCACCACATCTTCTTCCAATGAGATATGGGGGCCACCTTCCCAATGTGCCATCCCTGCCACAGTTCTTTTCAGATATGAACTGGAAGTAGCTTCCCGTAGTGCTGGAGCATCTCACACAGGAGGACAGGAAGTGACCTCTTGCAGATGAGGAAACAAGCTTAAAGGACAAAGCATCTGGGATTAATTGTTGTTCTTGGTCACATGGGGTAACATGGATTCGCAATGGTGAAGTGGTGGAAGGTCAACATAGCAGAGGCTACAGAAACAGCCCTGGGGCTACATGTAGACTATCATCATCATAGGTGATCCCTCATGGCAAAGTCTGATTGTCTTCCAGAAGTGGAGTCTTGGTGGTGGGTCTGTAAGTGATTGTAGAGATCTATTCTGGATCCGCGTAATCTTTCGCAATGAGGAAATACATTGCCAGATGGAAGATGGTCCTGACAAGGGCTTGCTTGACACACCTTTCTCTTGGCACCTTTCTCCCTTTCAGGCCTCTTCAAAATCCAAAGCACTATTGGGAACAGTTGACCTCCAATTACAATGCTTTCCAGTCGTCTGTGTTTATTGCACATTTCTAAAGGTTAACTTTAAGTTTATCTTTGAATCTCTTTTGTTGTCCACCATCATTTTGTTTTCTGTTCTTGAGCTGAAAGTAAAATAACTGCTTTGAGAGACAGTGTTTGGACATTTGGACAACATGGCATTTGGTCCAGAAGTGGATGGCGGAGGATCATGGCTTCAGTGCTGGTGGTCTTTGCTTCTTCCAAAATGCTGACATTTGATGGCCTGGGTTTTTCTGAAGAGATTTGCTGGATTTTTCAGAGGAAACACTGATGGAATATTTCCAGAAGTCGAGAGTTACGTTAGTAGATGGTCCATGTTTCTTGGGTGTATATTAGAGTTGGGAGGACAATAGCTTTATAAACTGCGTTCCAGTGAATGTAGGCTCCTGTAGCATGCATAGGACACCTATAGCCACCACAGCTGTAATACCTGGTCCATGGTACAAAACCCAGAAGCACAGCTCCTGTTTCCATGACCTCTATTACAGCACTAAAGCCACATGGAAGTTCATTCAGAGATTCTCATTCAAAGGAAGGCTAACAGGATGGATTCCTCACTTCTTGCCCTTCAGCTTTCGGTGAAGACGTTCCGCTCCCGGAGGCTTTTGGATGACCCTTAGCTCTGTCCCAGTTCTTGGTTTTGATGCTCACTGTAATTTTTGAGCTGTTTTTCAAAAACGACATTGCAATTCCTTCATTTGTTCTGGAATAAAGCAGTTTTATTTATCCTCCGAAATGCCTTGTAGGCCTGGATACCCTCAAAGAGTCAGGATTTAAATTAATCAAGAAATACATGAATATAAATAAGACATCTGAATTGAAGAAGGACAGTATGTCCAATTGCATCCGTTTTGGAATACTCTACAAAATATTATTAGACTTTGGCTAGTTTGTCATTTTAAATTCCATTAACAACAGAGTCAGAAAGATTGCTTTAGATGCAGTCAAGCAGGGGAAAAATCCAAGGAAGTTCACCAGGAAGCTGGATTTAAATGAGAACAAGCCTTTGTACCTTTCTGCACTAGAAAAGCATCCTTTTAGCTGTTAGAAAGGAAGAGAAGAACGATACATTCATCCATTCATCTATTCTCTCACACACACAGTGCTTCTAAACTCCTGTTATGAATACTAAAACAGGAAGTGTGTATTCAATTAAAACTGCATACTCTGATGCTGCTTCCTATCAAACCAAACATATTTCTGAGAAGCACAAAAATTACATAGAGAGACCCATTGTTTTAAATATTCTCCAGTAGGAAATTCCCAGAAAACATGATTATAGGCAGTCCTGGAGTTACAAACATCCAACTTACAAATGACTTACTTTAAGAACAACAGGAAGTTAGAGAAACCTGTTCCACAGAAGGGAAATCAACTCCTGAAAGAGTTATCATGGGGAAAAGGTGTGTCCACTGAAGCTTTATCACCAATTCTTGTTTCAACAACAAGCCAATTTTTTAAAAAAATCTAATTATCACAGGGACAGAAAGTGGGGTGAAATCTTCTGAACGGGCAAAGACAGCAAGACAAACACCATAGGTGTGTTGACCCATATGCTAACCTAAATCGTAAACTCTCTCTATATATATAGAGAGAGAGAGAAAGAGAGGGGGGGTATATATAGTTGGAGTACCTGTTCCGACTTACATCCAAATTCAGCTTAAGAACAAACCTCTGAACCTGTCTTGTTCGTAACTGTATAAACTTAATTTTTGTATTAGGAAAGTGTTCCTTAAATGCAAGATTATACACATAATCTGGTTTTAGAAATGTATTGAGGGATTACCTTGCATTATTACGACCACCAGCAACCAGAACTTATAAAAGTTGCTTTTTTCAACCATACACACCCCACCCCACCCCGACTGTCTTTGCTGCTTAATCTTGTTCCTCAGACCTTTCCATTCTGAATCCCAAAGCTTTTCTAAGTTCACTGTTTTCTCTGCTCAGAAGCATGCTATGAGCTCTATGCCCTTCAGATGTGGGTGTCTCTGCCACTATTGGTTTGCATTCCTGATCAAGCTGTGACACAGTACTCCACATTGCAGTAAAAATTCTTGCATACTTGGCCCCGATATGACTATTTTGCATCCCTGTCTGTGAGCCTTTGTTCTGAGTCAATAGGGACACGACCTGAACACAGCCTAACTAAGTGGGTAGCTAAGGCACATAAAGACCGTCAAAAGATTGTCAGGGTAACCTTTAGAAATAATGAATGTCTCAGAGCATCACTGTTATTCTCTGAAATTAGATTGGAATACTGCTCTATAAGAATTTTTTAGCATTTATTAAATGGAGTGATAGGAACTAACCTGTTTCATCCAAACTCAGGCCGTAGCATCCATTTCCAAACCAATTCTTGCATGGCAGGGAGTTGGACTAGATGGCCCATGTGATCTCTTCCAACTCTATTATTCTATGATTCTATGAAATATTAAGGCCTAAATATCCCAAAGGTACCAGAACTCATCTTACTTTGGATGCAAAGCAAAGAGAGCCCTGATTGGTACTTAGATAGGAGATAACTATTGAATACTGACAGCTGTAGGCTGTATTTCAGAGGAAGGAATGGGCAGACCACCTCTAAGTACTCATGTGCAATTCATGGGATTGCCACAAATCAACAGGTTATTTGAAGGAACGTATTATAAAATCTTGTGCCCTGATTGAGGCTAGAAGCCCACTTTAAGGTTTTAGATGATGCTATGCTAGCCTAGACCTCTATAATTTACTCTTATGTCGACCTTGAAGCCAAAGGCATAGCATCTCAGTGGACTCTCTTCCTCTTCTATTTGTGACCGTCAATATTTTTGTTATTTTCCAGCTTGAAAGAAAAGGACTCTCAAAAGCAGAATGCATCTCTGTATATCATCTGCATCAAACTGAAGGCCCAAGGGTGGGCCAAATCTGGCCTGCCATCCCATTTTATGTGGCCCTCCAGATGGTTGACCACAACTCCTGTCTTCTCATCATTAGATATCAGCCATGTGCTCTTGGGTTGCAATTCCCATTATCCCCAGTTTGCAGGGGGATAATAAAAACTGATGGGTGTTGTCATTCAATAACATCTGGGGTCCCAAATTAGGTAAAACCAAAGAGTACTGACCACTATGCAAAAAATTAATAGTTGGTCCGGAGTGTGGTGGAGGCTCCTTCTTTGGAAGCTTTTAAACAGAGGCTGGATGGCCATCTGTCAGGGGTGATTTAAATGCAATATTCCTGCTTCTTGGCAAGGGGTTGGACTGGATGGCCCATGAGGTCTCTTCCAACTCTTTGATTCTATGATTCATTGTCTCCACAGATTCTCTATCTATAGATTCATTGGCCCTTTGAAGGCAGCCATAAGTCTGATGTGGTCTTCAATGAAAATAGGTTTGACACCCCTGGCTTAGAGCATCTCCTCATAACATTCCATTTTCTTTTTCCTTAGGAGAAAGAGGAGCTTACCAAAATGTAGAAGAATCTAGGCACTTACAAAAAAAGTATACAATTGAAAAGCAAGTAAATCTAATGAAGTCCTCAGAACATCACTAAAGTACCATGAAGCCTCAGCCCAGGGAAGCATCATTGGCCCTACAAAGCTTACAGCCAAAACCAACAAAAAAGGGCACAGAAGTTAGAGAAAGACAGAATAAAGGGCTCCCATTTATTAGGCTGAAAGAAAGTAGCTAGTCCAGTGAATTTCATGGCTGGGCATGATCTGAACCTGGTCCCAGTCCAGCCTGAATCATGCCCCATAATGGTTCACCAGTGAAGCTTTTCCTCAGAAGCATTCTTTAAGAAGAAGAGGCTAGCTCAGAGCTGAATTTGACTTGGCTCCACTCTTTAATATTACTGTATGTACTAAACCCTTAAATTACGGTCAGGCATTCCATTGGACAAACCTAAAATATGTGTATATGTATTTCTAAATGAAACGTCTCAATAAATTTGCCACAGTTTGTTGAAAACTGGAGGGAGCGTATCATCCAGAGGAGAAGGCACAGTGTGATTAGTGGCTTTTCAAGAGCGATAAAAATACCCTGCATTCTTTCAAGAAGAACTCAAAGGGCTTAGAATCTGAAAGCGGTGTGAATCGGGCATTAATACAAATTAATAATATGTGTGGTGTGGGTTGTTTCCCTGTTTACTTTGGCTTAGGAGCCTTGACTCCCTTCATCCAGGCCAACTCCTTAAGAAGAGAACAACACTGGGAATTGCTTGTCGATCTGATACGCCCAAATCAAGGTCCGGTGTTCCTTCCTCGGGACTATTGTTTCGTCTTTTTCCATTGTGGAAAACATGAGCCAGGGAGAAGAATAAAGAGATTTTTGATTAGGGTATCTGGAGGAAGAAGGAGAGCGATAAGCATTTATGGTTCTTCTGTAGGAAGCAGGAAGGCTTCTTTTGTCAGAGGGAGCAGAGTTACTTGAATCTAAAGCATTGTGGTTTGTAGCAGAAATAAACAAGTTTGTTAGATTGCTCTACATGTCACACACATCTCATTGTTTTGATTTGATCTTAACAAACAATTCAGCGATTAGCACACTTTTATGTCCTCTATCTTCTCATCCTGTCCTGAAGTGATTGCTTGTTTCAACAAATAGGATTTCTAAACAATTGCCTATTACATAAAGACCCTGCATCCTGTCATACACTGTTTTTCAAAAATGCTCTGGGAACACATGCAGCCCTTACTTTGATGCTTACAGTCAATATTTCTCCAGGAAAGGTGCTGCAGATTTGACTACAGGCATAGCTTTGTTCTCAAATATTTATGTATCTCTGACACTTAGATTTCTTCTGAACAGTTCTGAGTGGATGGATAAATTAAAGGGCCTTAACTGAGTTCTGATTTTGTCCTCACATTTTTTTGGGTCACAGTGTCTTTAAAGGTAGTATTGCAACAGACTGACAGAGAAGAATGTGAGTGGAAGCAAGGAGAAATCAACTCAAAGCAGCCAAGTTAATTTCCAGCCAGATTCAAGAACAAGTTATCAGGCCTCTTATCTATTTGTTCCCTTGCTTTGTATGTAAGGAATGAGTGCCTTCTTGTTTTTCCTGTTTGTGTCCAGGCTTTTCAATCAAGATATTGGCCGTAACCTCCAGTCAGAAGGTTAAAGCCTGGCATAAAGTTTGCCAACAAACAGGGCACTTGCCCACGTTATTTTTACCACTGTTTAGAAATGTAATGTGTACTTATGTCAGTCATTATTTATTATTGGGTTGTTGTAGGTTTTTTCGGGCTATATGGCCATGTTCTAGAGGCATTTTCTCCTGACGTTTCGCCTGCATCTATGGCAAGCATCCTCAGAGGTAGTGAGGTCTGTTGGAACTAGGAAAAAGGGGTTTATAAATCTGTGGAATGACCAGGGTGGAACAAAGGACTCTTGTCTGTTGGAGCTAGGTGTGAATGTTTCAACTGACTACCTTGATTAGCATTTGATTGCCTGGCAGTGCCTGGAGCAATCTTTTGTTGAGAGGTGATTAGAGTCCTTGTTTGTTTCCTCTCTGTTGTGCTGTTCTAATTTTAGAGTTTTTTAATACTGGTAGCCAGATTTTGTTCATTTTCATTTCCACAAAACACCTGGAAGGCCGAAGTTTGCCCATGCTTGGTCTAACCAATAAGAACTCAAGCATCTTGCAAACAGATGATGGAAGATCGGGGCCAAGGGAACCCAGTGAACATGTCTGAAGAAAAAAAAATCTATAATTGGGTACAGAAATACAGATTATCCTGTTATTTCCATTGAATAAGTTGAACAAGGCCCTATAATGTTTGGAATAGACAAGGCTGAGATATTATAAATGGGTGAATTCTCTGTCCAGATGAGTGATGTTCTCTCTGGTGGAGGAATTATTGTCACAAAAGGATCGTTTTTATAGTGTTCTTTTATATTTTTACTCAGGGCCCAAGCATTGAAGGGCCCTTGTATCTTGGTTGTTCAGGAACAGATCCAAACCCATCATGAAACACCTTCCTGGTGGCAACTGGCATCTTTTGGCTATTTTAGTTCCCTAAAGACTTTTCTTCCTCTATTTTTGCTGCTACATTGTACTGTATTATATTTCATGTCTGGTTCAAGTGTGTCAAAGAGATGCTTTGCACCCTTCCTCATTGTTTCCCCCTTCCACATTCAACCAGTATTTCATCATGAAGGGCATTCCCTAATCAACAATGGACTGAGTGTTGTTATTTTTTTGTTTGTTTGTTTTTAAGAAAAAGGAAGAGCAAGACCAAGATCTTTCACCAGAAGAGAAGAGGATACTAGAACGAAAGCTGAAAAAAGAGCGCAAGAAGGAGGAAAAGAGATTAATGCGAGAAGCAGGGGTCATCGCTAAGAAGGAAGTGCCTAAGAAACCCTCAGGTTTGGAATTGGCATTGAACTACTTAACTTCGTAAGTTTGACCCTATTGAGAAGACCCATCCATAGAAACATACAAAAATAGTGTCATTTTAGATTTGAAAATACAGAACTTCCCACATTTTTTCAGTTCCAGGCCATCATATAGCAATAAATTACAGTTATTTCATTGAGGTGTTGTTTACTGATAGGAAGCCTTACCTGAGTTGGCATGGGATGCATGTGAGCTGAGCTTTCTAACACCTTTCTAACAGCTAAATTTATGTATTGTCGAAGGCTTTCATGGCCGGAATCACTGGGTTGTTGTAGGTTTTTCCGGGCTATATGGCCATGTTCTGGAGGCATTTTTCTCCTGACGTTTCGCCTGCATCTATGGCAAGCATCCTCAGAGGTAATGAGGTCTGTTGGAAGTAGGAAAAATGGGTTTATATATCTGTGGAATGACCAGGGTGAGACAAAGGACTTTTGTCTGCTGTGGCTAGGTGTGAATGTTTCAGCTGATCACCTTGATTAGCATTCAATGGTTTGGAAGTTCCTGGGGGGAATCTTTTGTTGAGAGTGATTTTATGTGCCAGAGGGGAAACAAACAGGTACATAAAATCACTCTCAACAAAAGATTCCCCCAGGCACTTCCAAGCCATTGAATGCTAATCAAGGTGATCAGCTGAAACATTCACAGCTAGCCCCAGCAGACAAAAGTCCTTTGTCTCACCCTGGTCATTCCACAGATATATAAACCCATTTTTCCTACTTCCAACAGACCTCACTACCTCTGAGGATGCTTGCCATAGATGCAGGCGAAACGTCAGGAGAAAAATTGCCTCCAGAACATGGCCATATAGCCCGAAAAAACCTACAACAACCCAGCTAAATTTATGTTGAACTTAATTAATTAAGAATGATCTACAAAAGGTATGGCTGGGATCCAAGTTGCTCTTTGCCGGATTGCTTTTGTTTCCGTTCAGAAAGTGATGCAGGGCATTCAGTATCCCAAATATCTTTTTTTGTTTTAGTCTGCTATATAAGCAAGTATCTTGAAAATCAAGCAGCTTGGTTTGAGGACTAGTATTATGTGATGTTTGGTCGATATAGAAGAGCATTTAAATAAAACCCAATGAGGAACAAAGCTGTATATTTGCATACCGGGGTTTTGGTAATTATATGCCAGAGAAAGTGAGTGGTTCCAGACTTCAGATAATTATTTGCTATAATTAGTCTATTTGCGTGTAGGACTCACAATTCCATTCTGGGGGCTGGTTAGAGTTAAAGTTTAAAAAGCCTTCTATATAGCAGCCTACAGCCAATTATAGAATCTGGATAAACACAAAGGGAGCGTTTATTTTTTTCCAAGCAGGGACCAAGTATCCACTCACGAAATCCAGAAGGTTACTAAATACAAGTTAGCATTTGGAATCATTCCAGGCTCTGCCAAAGAGCAGGATCCTCAGACAGTCTAAATTATCGCTGTCAACTTTTCGGCATGGAGGGAGGAAATTAATGGCATTCCAAGCTGGGGGCCATGTGTGTGTGTTTTTTGTTATATAATCCTCATAATGGAGTGGGAGCGGGATGACGGCAGCAATATTCTCAACATGGAGAACGGCTGGGACTTTTCACCCTTTTTTTCAAATGTTCTTAGATGAGTGTATGCTCGAACAGTACTCTGAAATATATTTTAGTGCAAGATATTTGCAGCAATGTAGTTGAGAAAGCAAGGGATCACTGCCTTCTTTTGATCCGTGTCATTTTTGAATGACCTTTACTGTTGATCAGTGAACTTTATGACTGAATGGGGGATTTGCATCCTGATTCTCAGTTTCATAATAATAGTAAAACTTTATTTATATTCCTCTCTATCTCCCTGAAGGGACTCAGGGAGATAAAGGAAGCGGGAGTCTCCAAGGCATCTTGTTTTCTGATGCCTTGGAGACTTGGAATCAACTGAGCAGTGGGTTCAAATTACAGAAAAGGAGATTCCATCTGAACATTAGGAAGAACTTCCTGGCTGTAAGAGCTGTTCAACAGTGGAACTCTTTGTTTTGGAGTCTGGTGGAAGTTCCTTCTTTGGAGGCTTTTAAACAGAGGCTGGATGGCCATCTGTTGAGGGTGTTTTGATTGTGCTTTTCCTGCATGGCAGGGTGTTGGACTAGATGGCCCATGTGGTCTTTTCCAGCTGGGATTCTATGATTCAAGCCAATATCTCAGCATCTGCAGTTGACAAGAGAGTCCAAGCCAAGACATTCAGTCTCATCTAACAAGGCTGTTCTTAAATTCTCAGGAAATATGAGGTTTAATTCTGTCTGAAAGCAAGGTGTCTGTAATTTGTATTCTACAGCCCCCGACCTTTGGCAGTGTCATTTTGCTTTTATGACCCAGAAAAGAGCTGTTTAATTCAGCAACCATAGTAAGCTTCTTACAGATCTTCTTCAGTTCATTATGGATGAGGAAGAATTAACACTCCAACTATCAGACAGCATGCTTTTTCTTTGATGTGACAACAGTCTGCTGCTGTAAGGAGCATTATCGACCCATTCTCAGTTGATACAGCTAATACTAATTTAACTAGAACAAGATTTGTGCTCTTTCAAAATTCGGAAGCCCCTAGATCTGAGATTTCCCAATGTTTCATGTTTCTGACACGCTTTTTAGACATGCATCCTTTTGCAACACAGAAATTCAGCTTTGCTAGCAAGCCAGGGGTTAAAACAAACCCCATATAAGATTTCCACGTTCTATATTCTCTCTCTCTCTCTCTCTCTCTCTCTCTCTCTCTCTCTCTATATATATATATATATATATATATATATATATATATATATATATAAAAATCAGTGGTTCTCAACCTGGGGTCCCCAGATGTTTGTGGCCTTCAACTCCCAGAAATCCACTGCTCTATACACACGCATGCGCACGTGCGCGCACACACACGCAAACACACACACACACACACATAAATCTTTATTATGTAAACAAAGTTTGGAATTTTTCTCCTTTACAATTCTTATATACTACAGTAGATTTCTGAGCGGTTTTGTCTATAGGAGCAGAATTCAAAACAATCTTAAAAATTAGAGAGATGGGCCAAAACTAACAAAATGAACTTCAACAGGGACAAATGCAAGATACTCCACTTAGGCAGAAAAAAATGAAATGCAAAGATACAGAATGGGTGATGATGCTTGGCTTGATAACAGTACGTGTGAAAAAGATCTTGGAGTCCTTGTGGAAAACAAGTTAAACATGAGCCAACAATGTCATGCGGTGGCAAAAAAAAAAAAAAAAGCCAATAGGATTTTGGCCTGCATAAATAGATGTATAGTGTCTAGATCCAGAGAAGTCATGTTACCTCTATAGTCTGCCTTGGTCAGACCACACCTGGAATACTGTGTCCAATTCTGGACATCGCAATTAAAGGAAGATGTTGACTCTAAGCTGGAATGTGTTCAGAGGAGAGCGACGCAAATGATCAAGGGTCTGGAGAACAAGCCCTATGTGGAGTGGCTTAAAGAGCTGGGCATGTTTAGCCTGCAGAAGAGAAGGCCAAGAGGAGACATTATGGTCATGTGAGGGGAAGTCATAGGGAGGAGGGAGCAAGCTTGTTTTCTGCTGCCTTGGAGACTAGGACGCAGAACAATGGCTTCAAACTATGGGAAAGGAGATTCCATCTGAACATCAGGAAGAACTTCCTAACTGTGAGAGCTGTTCAGCTCTGTAGTGTGGAGGGGGGCTCCTTCTTTGGAGGCTTTAAAACAGCCCCTGGATGGCCATCTGTCAGTGGAGCTTGGAATGCAATTTTCCTGCTTCTTGGCAGGGGGTCGGACTGGGTGGCCCACGAGGTCAGTGATTCTATGATATTATTTATTTATTTATTTGGGGTGCTTCTACCCCGCTCTTCTCAACCCCCTAGGGAGGACTCAGGGCGGCTTACAAAAGGCACAAATCGATGCCTAACAATTACAAAATACAATACAATATACAATACACAAATTTACCATATAATATCACAGTTATAACTAATTAAAACAATCAAACAGCCACTCCATGCCATTAATCACAAACATAGTTTTCAATAGATTTTATTTTCTTAATTAGAAACGTATCCATTTTACTTATAATTCCTGGGACTCAATAGAAATTGTGCAAATTATAAATCTTATAGCAGTACCTATACTTGAACAGCATCAGCACCTCACTCTTTGGAGGTTTTTAAATGAAGCTGAATTGTTATCCAAGGGTGCTTTGATTGTTCCTTCCTACTTGGCTGAAGGGGTTTGAGGGGCCTCTGGGGGCCTCTTCCAGTGGAGTCTCCTTCTCTGGAGAGTTTTGAACTGAGGCTGGATGGCTGTCTGTTGAAAGGGCTTTAACTGTGCCTTCCTGTCTGGCTGAAGGAGGTTAGACTGGATGCCCTTTAGGGGCTTCTTCCAGTGGATTCCCATTCTTTGGAGGGTTTTGAACTGAGGCTGGATGGCTGTCTGTTGGGAGGGCTTTGAATGTGTCTTCCTGTCTGAAGGGGATTGGACTTTGAGGGTATCTTCTAAATCTGTGTTATACTTCCTACCGCGGTCCTTCCCCATAGCCCCTACTTGTTCTCCTCCTCCATGCCCCCCCCCGCCCATGTTTGACTCCTGGGAATTGTAGTTTTCTTCAGCCAGAAAATATTCTGTTAGAGACTCCTTAATCTCTTTCACATGCCAGAGATTCCCCAGGAGAGAGGGAATGTGTGTTAAATCAGCTTACATCTGTAGTGCAAATACACCCTGAGTCATTCCATTCAAAGCCCATGAGCCATCGGGGACTATTTTGAGAATCCTTTTCAAGAGACATTAAACCAGAAATCACTCATAACTTAATGGGATGCTCATTACGAATTTCCATGGTTGAGGGGAAACACCTTAAAGTGACTTCTGATGCTAATAACACCTTGTAATTGAAGGAGCATGAATACCTGTGCTAAAAAGAGATTAACCCAGCCATGTGCACCTTGTATTAAAAGGATGCCGCCTCATTACATTTTTAAAAAGTCAACCATGTCAA